CTCCCCCCCCCCCCCCCCCCCCCCCCCTCTCGCTCCAAAGCCTACGCGTTCTCTCCCTCTAACCCTCTCTCTTTGCCCCCACCCCCCCCGACCCCGCTCCCTCTTATTCTTCGTGCCTCTGTTCCCCCTTTGTTGTCGCTGTCTCTCCTTCTCCCTTTCCCTTCCCCTCTCCTTCTCCCTCTCCCTCCGCCCCTCCTTTTTGACATTTGCGATACCATATCACTCTCCCCTTCTCCGCCGCCTATACCCTCCTCGTCGACCGGATCAGAACTTTGTCGAACACATCGACGGCATCGACAACGGAGTGGATGTGGCCAAGGGAGCGGACCTGAGCTACGACGTCTCTTCGCACCTCAGCGCTAGGGTGGGCCAGCTCAACCCGAGGTGGGTGGGTCGGCGGGTGGAGAAGTGTCCTCTGCCACGACAGGATTCGGCGAAGAGTTCCCACACACATTCGGCCGGCCCCTTCCCGGCTCTTCTCTTCGCCCTTGTTGCTGGCGGTTGTCGTTGTAGTCGTCGTGGTTGTTGGCCCTTTGTTGTTGATGTTGTGGTTGTCGTTGCTAATTGTTGGCGATGGTGTTGACGCTGTTGATCTTGATCGTGATGTTGTCGTGGTTGTCTTCGCTTTTGTTACTGTCCTTGCTGGCAATGTTGATGCTGTCGCCGTCGTCGTCGTCGTCGTCGTCCCCGTGTTTTTTTCGCTCGCCGTGCTGTCGTTGCAAACCTCCCGTTCTTGTTTCGTCTGGACACATGGTGCTCGTGTTTTGATCTCACCCTTCTTGTCCCAGTTCTTGTTTTTACTCTTCTTCCTCTCTCGTCACTGCCAGCACTCCCCCCCGCTCTCTCCGGCTTGCCACACATCATTGTTTTTCCTCCTCTCCCTCTCTCCTCGTTGTCTACACCGCTCACCACTCCCCCTCTCTCTCCTGCGTGCTACACACGATTGTTGTCTTCCCTCCTTCCCCTCTCGCCCCATTGCCTATACCTCTCTCTCTCTCTCTTGCTTGCTCGCCGCAGCTGGAACGAGCCCTCAGACCCTGAAGGCCCCGACGGCCCCAACGCTCGCTTCAAGAAGGCCATGTCGCTCACCGGTGGCGAGCTGTGCCGCTACGTCCAGGGGCTGGCCAAGTCGTGGTGGCCCGGGAGGGCAATCGTGGCGGAGTCGTTGGCAAGGCGCAAGGAGGACCACCCATCGGGAGAGGTAACGTGGAAGCTTTGGGAGGAGTGAGGCGCTCGCTCGCCCCGTCTTCCCACATTGTTTAGCTGCCTCGCTGTTGTTGTCGCCGGCGGGAAGTTAGTTGGTTATCGTCTCGTTAGTTTTTGTTTAATTGTGTGTTTCAGGGCTCGTTTTTTGTGACCGCACTAACCGGCCGACCGATAGAGAGACGTCCGTCTCGGTGTTGCTAGAAACGGAAAACGATTCTAAGGGACATGATCTGGGGCCCAACCAGGGGGGGGGTGTTTGCCTTTTTGTTTTGGACTCCCTGCATTTCCGTGCGTTGTAATATTTTTGACTGCTCCTCACATCTCGAGCGAGCATGAACAAAACATGGCGACAAGGAGAGGAACATCTCGAGTACAACAGCTTAACGAAACACACAAATTAGTTTTGCCGTTCTACATTGGATGTACTTCTATGTCGTGCGTCAATGGCGTCTGCTGTGCTCCACCCAGATTATGGTTCTCACGGGCTTCTGTCCCTGGAAGGGTCACCTCCTCGAGCTCGAGGAAGAGATGGGGATCGCGGGGGAACTCAAGTATGTCCTCTACGCCGAGGGGGACCCCGCAGGGAAATGGCGAATACAGGTGAGACCTTGCCCGCGTGCGCAAAAGAGAGGTGAGGCATTGGTTGAACGAACAACTGGCAAGTGGGGCGGACAAAAGGGCTTATCTGAAATCAGTTTTTCTGGCAGAGAGAGAAACTCAATAAGCGATGATGTTCATGCGCCACTCTAGACTGAACTCGTGGGGGATGGACGGGTGAAAACACAGACACACGGTTGCAACGTTGTGTGTGAAAACTGTCTGTTGTGTTCTTTCTCACATTCAGTTATGCTGCTGCTGCTGATTTTAGGCTATTGTGCTTGCAAACCATTGGCGTCGAATGATTTTGTATGGTCTCTTTTTCTGCCGTGGTCAATCGATCGATCAGGCGGTGCCCGTGTCGGAGGGCTCCTTCGCTCTCCGCCTGCCTCTGGCGAAGCCGTGGCTTGGCCTGCGGGACAAGGAGTTGTCGGAGGCGTCCGGCATAGAGGGAGGCGTTTTCGTTCACGTCAACGGTTTCATCGGCGGCAACGCCAGCAAGGCCGGGGCCATGGCCATGGCCTCCAAGTCGCTTGAGCTTGCAGCAGCGGCGGCGACCTAGGCCGCAGACATAGGAGATAGTAGATTGTAGATAGGTGTTGAGGCGATTGGAGCCGACGGCAGTGGGAGCCGCGTCGGCGACGAGGTCATTCGATGGTTATGGGTAAGTTCTTTGAGTCGGCCGTGGCGACGAGATCATGCGGTGTTTATGGGGAGTAGGTTTTGTTTGAGTCGGCGGTGGCGACAGCGGCGGCGACCTCCACGTAGAAATTGCAACCATGGCAGCATCTTTTTCTGCAAATCCACGGGCCGAATCGACCGTCCCTCCCCAACCCCTCCCCCCAGGGGGGTACAGACTGCACGTATCGTTCATGGCCAGGACTAGCCACTACTGTTGTTCTCTTAAAAATCCGTTCTGCCTCATCTCTCTTCAGGCCGTAGACGCCTGTACTGGATACCAACTGTGAGAGGGAAACACACAAGAGCTCAGATCCCAATCTCGCGCCCAAAGAAACAATTGGGAACGCGGCAGAATCTAGGACGGCGATGGCGATGGCCCATTTCCGGACCACAAAGGACCGCCTACGCAGGATTTTTTTAAAGATTATCTAGAGAGAGAATAGGCAGGGGGGCACACAGACCCTGTCCCTAACCCTAACCCCAAAGCACGGATTGAATACTTTATCCCATATGTTTTCTTCATCAATTTTGCTGCGTATACTACTGAAGATTCCATGTACCGGCACTCCTGCTCTGGTTCGCCGGCACGTGTGTACTTACAAAATTGATTGGCGCCAGCAAAACCGATCAGCCGTCATCTTCCGAGGACATCTAGCACGCTCTCGTACGTCACAAACAAGGCCGAGTTCCCCAAGAACGCCCGCGCTATCGCTGGCGAAAGCCCCCTGTACAACCCCAAGAAGGCCTTCACCCCCCCCACCGCCCCGGCGCCGTCCCCCCTCCCAACCCCGTGGCGGCGGCGGCCCTGCGCCAAGGCTTGTCGCCACCCGTCCAGGAACCCTCGGTACCTCGGAGCCTTTATCGAGTCGGTCTGCACCAGCGACTTGACGGTGTCGATCGGATGGGTCGCCACGGTGTAGAGGACTCCGGCGCAGCCCCCCGCCGCCACGATAGGACCAATCCCGGCCTGCTCTTGGTGTTGCTGTTGTCGTTCGTCCCCGGGGGCCCCGCCGCCGCCGCTCCCGACCGCCCCCCCTGTACTTCTGCCCCCGAGCGCCTTCGGCCGCGCATGCGAGGGCGTTGTAGGGTGGTGGATTTGACGTCAGCATGCATCCTCTTGTCAAGTACATTGGGCTACTATTATCACCGGTTGTAACAAAAAATCCACTACATGCATGCGCTGTGTGCACGTGTGTGTCGGTGCCTCGGGGTTTCTCTGACTGCCGAACAACCAGCAACTTCCATTATCCACACGCACGCGCGCGCGCGAGCGCAGGTTGGACCGTGTCGTTGAATCCCCTCCGCGTCTTCCCCCGTCGAGGGGTCCCGCGGACTTATTTTCCTTGTCCCGCTCATGAGCATAAGAAGTGCTTCTTTTGTTTTTGGTCAGCCAGCTAAATAGCGCTGTCGACGAAACAACGACAGAAGCACAAAACACGCACGTACGCTGTCTTGGACAGACTTTTTGAGAGAGCGGTAAGAGAGGTGCGTGGACTGGAGCCGAGCCACGAGAGAGAACCTCGACTCCGCTTCTCCTTAAGCACGTACGAAGTACTGTACCTGTTTGCAGAGCTCGTACGAGCCGAAGTAGACGGTGTTGCCGAGCCCTTCTTTGAGCAGCATGGACGAGAAACCCTTGTAGGAACCCTGCAGAGGCGGCGGGGCCGTCGAGAAGGAGGAACAATTTTGTTTTTAAGCACCGTCAGTGTTTCAGGGTGGTGGGTGTACCGTCAGAACAATCACACGGAGGGAGAGGAGGGGACAACGACAAAGGGAGGGAACACATACACAACACACAGAAATTGTTCCTCCTGGGGCCCGTAAGCCAAGACATACGTTTTTTGCTTGTCTCGTGCGGCATTTATTTCTGGATTGCTTTCACGTTCTGTGGGAGCTCGGTAACTACCTACCTAAACGACCGATGATGCGCGCGGAGTCCATGCTGTTTTTGCTCACTCAGGGGACCAAAGCTCGAAGCTTTCTCTTCTCCTCGCGAGAAAGGCAAGCGCAGTTGGTTCAAGGCCACAAAAAACGCAAGCTGCTGGAAACAGAAACACGTGCTGCTTGCTCACCTTGAAAATCCCATGGTGACGGTAGATTTGGGCCCCCGTCGTCCACACGGTCACGCCCGCTGGGGAACCTCTCAGCACCTATTTGCAACGATTACAACACCCAAAACAGCAGCAGGGAACGGGGGATAACAGCTCCTTTTGTTAAGCCCGCAGGGCGGGGAAGGAGAAGCACGTGCAAAAATACTCTTCCAAAGGAGGGAGTGCATGCACGCATCATGTGGTATCACGGTTTCAACCTGGCTTGGAGACAGCTGACGTGGGTTACGTCTCTTACGAAATACGAGCACAACTCATTGCGCGCAATTTGCTACAGGACAACGAAAAACAGCAAAGAAGGTATGCGGAGTGATTTCCGTCAGAAAAAATTCGGGTTTCGAGTAAAAAGTAGGAGAACAAACGGTTTGCGCCGTCGCTGTCTCGGTGTACCAGGTGGGCGGGGATGAATAAAAGAAGGCTTTTCGTTGCGAAAGTGTGTTGTATACCTTCTGTCTTTGTGATCCGCGACTGGTGCGTCGAAACATACACCGAGCAGGTGAAGACTTGCGCCCGGAGTACATGTGGGACGCACACACAGTCAACGACGACGATAGAATCACCTACCATAGAACACTTGACACACACAAGCGAGCAAGCAATATCACGTCGAAAAACTAAAACTGGTGCAACCACGGACGGTAGGAGATAATTCGCATTAGATACCTGCATTCGAGTCTTGACAAGCTCCAGAGGGCAGTAGGCGATCGCCTCCAGCACACCCGTCCCCATCGCTGCCAACATGAACCGCCCGCTCAGGGGCTGTGGTCAAGGAAGTGGAGGGGGTACGCATGCCGTAGTCGTTAGCCCATTGACCTCGAAGGGGGGGGGGGGGGGGCGTACTCTTATGTTTTGCATGTCTTAGCGGTTAGACCATTGACCACGCGTCCTCGAGAGGACGGAGCATTGTTCCCACAGGACCGATCACCGATGGCCAATCGTTCCTTCCTACTTTGCCAAAGGTGGTTCAACAATGTCTTCCCTAGTCTGTCTATCCGAACGATATCCCTTCCCGCCTTTTCAAACCACTTCCTACTCCCCAGTACAGCTACCGTCCTCTCCTCTCTATTCCATGCCTCAAACATCTCCCTGTACGTCCCTTGTATTTTTCCCAGCTCAGTCATGTACACTTCCCTCTCCTCTTCGTACCACGGATATTCCGCGACTACATGAACACGGTCTTCGCATTCGAAGCCGCAATCACATTTGAACTTGTCGTCTTCGTCGTCTACCGTCCTATGTCTTCGTCGACGTTCTCGAAGGCCTATGTCCCCGGTCCTGAATTTGGCCTTAAGCTTTGTCCCTGCATCCATTGGTCCATGTAGGTACATCGCTTGAACCCTATTCCTTCTTTCAGCATTCTGTACACTTCTAGACCCTCCTTATCCTTGGTTTCTTTCCTTACATTCTGCTCTTCTCTCTCGGCACAAGCAACATATATCTTCTCCTTGAACCCCTGTAGACCCTCCGTTTCCAGCGTTTCATCTTCGTCGATGTCTAACCCCTTCCATACGTCCTCTACAACCTTGACCCATTCCGTGGGTTGTCTACCCCTCTTTTTGTTTGCCCACTTCGCCTCCCATACTATTCTCGGCAACCTCTCCTCTCCCATCCCGCACATGCGATACTGCCATGTCAGCTTCCTTTCGTCTCTTCCCGATTGTAGGGATTGGATCCCCAATTCTGCCCTTACAGCTGCATTACTTGTGCGCTTGGAGCATCCTAGGATGATTTTCGCTGCTTTCATCTGCGCCGCCTCGAGTTCTTTCACTACCTTCTTATTTCCTTCCCATACTTCTCCGGCGTACTCTAGCGGCCTCGAAGGGGGGGGGGGGATGTACTCATGTAAAAGCATGCCGTGTGTGGTCGTTAGACCATAGACCTCGCATCCCTACAATGCGGGGACGGAGCGATATACGCTGGCCCAGGCTACGTTTCACAATAGCAGTAGCGGAGAACGGAACTTATTGTTGCAGAAACGCATGGCCAACAACACGCTTTGAGGTTTCATTACGCGTTTAGTACTTCAGCCGTGATGCTTGAGTTCATCTCTTCAAATACATTTTTGAGATACACCCCACGCAATACCGTCGCTGGCAACGTCGGGGATACCCTGTAACGGCCCCGCGATTTTCTCCCCCCAGCAGGGGGTCCCGCGGAATCACGACTCCTCTGCGTCGGGTTGGCGCATGCATTCACACTACTATTTCTAGTCGATGCCCGCAGCGGAATGCCCTGTAGTAGCCCATGCCCTCATCTTCGATAGTATATTGTCACCTGACTCGAGTCAGCACCGAAGACCTCTTTCAGGGTCCCGTTTGCGCCGAACAACACCGAAGCCGCTAACATGCTTGCCACCACTCGGGAAGACATTCCTCTAACGAGGAGAACAGCCAGCAGCACGAGAGCATTCGCCCCCCGGAGGAGGTTATTAAGAAGTATAGTCTGTGTCGCATGTATGCTTGCATATAGTCGAACACAGAAGCAACGAAAGCGCCATGCTCGCCGCCTACCACACCTCTGCTAGAAGATAGAACTTCGCCGTTCGTCATATGAACACCAAAATGAAGAGAAATCCCCTCACAGCACCTGAAAAAAAGGCGGCGAATTTACACGTAGAGAATTCGAGAGGCGGTGGGAGGGGTGACGACCGTTCGCATGAAGGGCTACGCACGTTTTCCGCTACATGCACCCAACTGTACTCGTAGCACGCCCCCACCCCCCCGCGCGCCCCCTCGCACTGCCATCTCACCGATACAGGGCCAGCGCCCCGTCCTCCCTGATAGCTGTGGAGAAACACCGGAAAGCACCCCCCGACGAAGCCGCCTCCGACGTCTGCATCCTCGTCTTGACTGTGTCTAACGGGTACGCTGCCATGCACTCCGCGAGTCCCCCTATCGTGCCTGGTGGCAAACCACCGCGAGGAGGGGGGGGGGGGCGGGGGCGCACGAACGACAGAGTGTCCTCACTACGGCGCTTGGTGGGGCTATATACACCCGTTCACATGACACGCATGTCATCCCATGATTATGGTTATGACAAAAGATGGGATCGTGAATCGTGAAAAACTTGAGAGCGCCGTGTAGTGCACGTCACAGCTGCAAGCGCCCGGGGGGAAGGGGAGGTCACGCGTTGAGCAGCAGGACGTCTTCTTCTAGAGTTTTGTGTTTTCCCATCGTTCCACCCAACTCCACTCTACTGCCAATGCCTGTAGCATGGCGCACCAACGCTCTCCTAGCCCCCGGCCGGTGAATGCATGTTTATTTAACAGTAGCAGCTATAATAGTTACACGTTAATGATGCACCGAGTCTAATGTTACCATACGTATCATCGACCTTTCTTCTCCCCTCGGCGTAGACTTCGGAAATTTGTGGCCCCAATCAAACCAACAAAATTAACGCCTACGCGGCTGCCTTGTTTGAGTAGACTCTCATGTTGCATTTTCAGGGACACCATTTACATCTGGAGTATTTGGCTGTAACACCACGGGCCGCAGTCATGGTGGCGAACACGTTGGGTGTGGTGTCATGGTCGCGCCAAGAGGAAACAAGCACCACAATCGTACCCTTAGCAGCGTGATGTTATTCCCGTCACAACTCTTTCAGAAGCGGAAATCTTACCATTTAGACTACATAATCAGCCCTGCCTATGTACCACGTACGCCGTCTACATTAATGGTTTGATTTCGGCCTCTATTCACAATAACACAAAAAACCTCCATTACAGCGTACCTTTCTTTGGTGGCGTGACCCCGGCTGATACGTCAAAGAAAAACCACAGGTGCACATGCTGCTACAGTACTTGCTGTACATGTTGTACATTAGAGACCCAACCCAACCTAACCCTAACCCTAAGCCAACTTCCCCGATTGCATGCTTTATCCAACATGTTTCCTTAATACAAGAGCCCTGCGAAGGCTACTGACCCAACCCCATCACCCACACCCATCGATACTACTGCTGTACCATTTCTATACCCACGGGACTATCGTACTCATATCTACAGTGTAAGTAGACTCACTCCCAGCGGTGTAGTCTAGTAGACTCCCTTCCAGCTTACACATATCCAGCAGTACAAGCAGTACATTATGTATTATGCAGTATTGAAGATTTCAATGTCGTCACTCTCTTTCCAGCTGCAGGTCTGGCCTCAGTCGAGATTTTTGAGCAAGCTGTCGGATAAAATAAAAAACTGGAGAACCGAGACATCACACACAAGAGATGCAGGCCTGCTCGGCATCAGACAGAGTCACGAGGGCGTGGATATTAACTGCGCAACTCATCCAACGACAACCAGGTTGCGCTCCTCACCTGCAACGGATAGCTTGCCAATACGCAACAGGAACGCCCCTGTCTCTGTCTCCTGCGGCCCTCGTCGACTGGCGCTCGCCCCGACATCGTCCGGCGGAGATAGATACGGTTCGCCCATCGCACTGCCCGGCTGAGTACGCAGCAACAACCACTGGTAGATGCGGTGGAACGCGGAGGAACCTGAGGGGCTCCGCATTGCAAATGTTGTGTTACACTTCTGATAATATTAATTCTACGGAACCCCCCGCCAAGTGGCGAGCCCCGAACGCCCGAACGTGCATCAGCTGTGCTGGAATCTGCGTGCTACCAGCTGTGGGAGAGGAGACACTATGGCTGCACAAGACGCCCTGTTCGCGCTGGAGTGTTTACCTTCGAAGGTACGAAACGGAAGAATGGTAGCGCGTGACGTGCGTCAACCAAAATAGAAAATAGGTAGCGGTGTGTGCGCGCGCCGTTTTCCACTGCCTCATAGGTGGGCTTTTGAATATCGCACACACACGTAGCATCATCACCCCCGCCTGCTCTTTTTAATCCGTACCACCGCCCACAATAACAGTAGTGAGGGCGGAAAGCGGGCTTCATTCGGAGGCAGGGGTTTGGGCAAGCCAGCGGGTTTGCTCGATGGCACGGCGTTGTGGCGTAATGCAGGTCTAACGCAAGCAGCAACGTAGGAACGTGCCTGCAAATTTGTTTGAAAAGCAGCTGGCTCTAGGGGGCCGCCATGAAGCCCAAGGATATGCGTTTGTTCGACCTTCAAGGGGCCTGCCCTCTCATGAGGGGCTTGCTCTCTTCTGTTTTCCGTCTCCTTCCCACTTGAGTTGGGAAATTGTAGTTTGAACAAACGGGCTTATCCGTGAACAGGCCAGCCCTTTGAGAGTCGGAATGAATGAATGCGGACGTTGAGAGTTGAGAGGGTTGTGGGGGGACGAGACTTTTTTGTCACATCCCAGCAGCGGGGTAACTGCCGCAGATGTAGGAACTGCTGTGGCTTGCTCCCCTTCATGTGACATGCCCTACAAATAGCGGCGTAGTTGCCGACGGGTATAGCACTCACGCAGCAGCGGTCGCCCTCCATCCCCTGATACCTTGGATTATTTGGACGCTGCTTGGCTTTTCTCATCTTGAGCGGCGGCGGCGGCCAGTTGAGGTGGACCTCTCCATCGTCTCCGACGCAACCGCAACAAGAATCGAATTCGTTTCCTTGACGAACAAGCTGCCCTTGCCCCACAAGCTGCCCTTGCCCCACGAAACAGTCCGCCCGCCGAGCGTTGCATGCATGTTAGTCTCCTCTTTATTTCTTGTTTGCCCCAAGCCGTCCTGTGGGGCTACCACCTGCCCTGTACGGCCCTACTCCCTCGAAAGCATTATTTTGTCTGCACCGCCAACCCGTGGCGGTGGTCGGTCGCACAAAGAGATGCCCCCCTTTGCACACGCCGTCCTTCTTTGTGACACCTAAGAAGGGCTCGGCGGTACATGTAGTCCTCTCATTTTCTCTCCTCAGCGAATGACGTCAAAGTCGTAGAAAACCTAGACAAAAAATACCACCTCTCTACAAGACTGCTGTCGACAGCAGTTGTTGAAGAAACACGGACTTACAAGCGAAGTCGTATTTTTTATTTTTTGGCCCGCAAAAGTCAAGTTGTGTGGTGTCTGTTAGATAGAGGCCTGACGGCGCGGCGTGACCACGTGACAACTTTCGGGTGTCCCAGCCCGTGTAGGCAGCACCTTGAGCAGTTCCTTGGCTAATCGAGGGCAAACTAGAAACACAGAGCACGTGTGTCCTCCTCCTACATTACATATATGTTTTCTTATAATTCTCTCGCAGTCTGCCAGGCTGTGTCAGCGGCGGACGTATGTATGCATACTTTTTTTTTGTTGGGACTTCCATCCGTCCCGGCCGCCGCCTGCGCCGCGTATGAGTCTCGTCGCCGAGAGACATCGCCGTCCCCAAGGCGATGTCCAATTCCCACTCGAGCGCCGTGGAGAGGGAGTTTACTGCTGAAGGTTGCGCAAGATTCGACTACACTCCCTGGGCCCAATTTTCAAGCCCTCTCGGGTGTTGTTGAAACCATCTTCTTGCCCGACACAAGAAAACATGTCACATGATGTGGCATCGTGGAGCGGTAAATCGAGCTTTGAAAATCGGTCCAAGAGGCATGCCGTATTGCCACCGCGACTGAGGTTTGGTTCACATCGGTTGGCATGGGAATCTCCCAAATCTCCCAATATTTTTTTCAGGAGTCTACTGGTATTTGTAGGGTTTGTAACCTTATCTGCCTTTTATGGCCGGGTCCGGCGTGAACGCGCCACCAAGAACGTGCTGGGCAGACGGTGACTAAAGAGGGGACGGTAAAAGAAAGCCCCCCCTTGTGTAGACACACACGTTGCTGCTTATCCCTGTCGTTCGACCAGCTGCCGCCCCCGGGCAAGACCTTACCCTGTTAGCGCTTCCCCCTCTGTTTGTGGTAAAAAAGACGGACCCCGTCCTTTGGAGGAAATCGAACGCGCTTCCGTCTTTTCTTCTTTGTTTATCACCGGCGGAACTGTTTGTGGGCCATGCCACCACGCCCTGAGAAAACGTCCCCTAAAAGAAAAATCAGTTTTGTGTTGTGTTGTATTCGTCCCCTCCCACGCGCGCGCGTTGTACGAGAAGGAGAGGGAAGTGTACATGACTGAGCTGGGAAAAATAGAAGGAAGATACAGGGAGATGTTTGAGGCATGGAATAGCGAGAAGGCGGTAGCCGTACTGGGGCATCGGAAGTGGGTTGAAAAGGCGGGAGGTTATATCGGTAGGATAGATAGACTAGGCAAGACATTTTTTTAGCCCCCTTTGGTGAAGTAGGAAGGAACGATCGGCCATCGGTGATCGGTCTTGTGGGAACAATGCTCCGTCCTCTCGAGGATGCGTGGTCGATGGTCTAACCCGCTAAGGCATGCAAAACACAAGAGTACGCCCCCCCACGCGCGCGCGACCCAACGCCTCCCAATCCAGTCTTCTGCCGGCCGGTCCGAAAAGAGACCTGGAAAGGACTACACGCGCTTTTTGGGTTGTGTTGCCTACTTGGACGGGTGGACTCGGTTGCGTTGCCTTTTGAGCTGATCGTATGTTGATGTTCGCCACTGCTACTGCCGCTGCTGCTGCCGTTATCGCTACTGGCGGCTCGTTCGTGATGCTGTCGCCCGCTGCTGACCGCGGTCGCAGGTTCTGGACTTCGCGCTTGAAGATGGTGCTGAGCCCGCGGAGGTAAGGATTAAGGGCTGTGGCGTGGGAGAGATTGGTTTCGCGACAGAGCGCCATGCTTGTAGGGGCACAACGCTTTGTGGGGTTGGCGATAGGTGGGCGGTGTCGTAGGTGTTGTGTTGGTTGCCGCGGCCCCGGTATCTGTTTTGGATGCGGGCAGTGAGTGCTGTCCTCCTCAGGGCGAACGTGGCCGTTGCTGTCGACGATAATAATAATAATCGAACCGATGTTTGTTGGTTGGTGGTAGTTGCGGCTGGTGACGCCGCTGCTGCTGTTGCGCTTGATGGGTAGTGCTGGTGTAGGCGCTGCCGATGTTGTCATCTATATGATAGAAGCCGAAATCAAACCATCAGACTAGTCAGCGCTGATTAGACTAGTCAGCGCTGACTATAATAGTCTAATGTTGTGATGTCGGCTTCTATTGCTGACTAGTCTGATGATTTAATTCCGGACTTGTCTTTGTCTCAGTGTTAATCGACGGCCGAAACTTATCCCTTCCATTTCCTTCCGCCCCCGCTGCTGTTGCCGTGTCCTCGCCCGTGTCCCCCCCCCGGATGCGCCAACGCCAAACTACCCCTGATGGTGATCGGATGGACGATCGTTGCAGTGCGTATTGCACCTTACGAACAACGGCAGTGAATCGGTAGCCTTCAAGGTTAAGACCACCAAGCCGAAGAGGTGAGTCCTCCCTTTGTTCCACGCATCTTTCCGGAACATGTTTGGCGAGTTTCTGTCTGGTTCAGAGCTCGATCCGTTTTTCGCCGACAATGTCCATCTGTTCAAACGTGCGAGGCATGCGGTTTTAGTCGGAGAGACCTCGGTGCCCATGGCCCGCAGGCGATTACCGTACGTGACGTAAGATCACACCCCCTGGGCCCATCTTGAAAGCTTGATCACACCACAGCGGCAACAGTGATGGCGCCGACAAATGGCGGCATTGGACCCGCCTGGTCGAGAGCTTTGCGAAAACAGATCGTTGTATCCTCCACGTCGACGTGGAGGACGTCGAGCTTTAAATATCGGTCTAGCGGGTGTGATATCTTGTGTCACCTACGGGCAGTCGGCCTTACTGGTCCTGGTTATGGTGCTGCTGCTTTTTTCCGTCCCATATTTTTTCCCGTGTAACCGTTCCATGGCCTTTTGGTACGTTCCGCTCCGTGTTTCCAGTATGTCGGCGTTGTGGTTTTCTCGCTTCCTTTTGGGATTATCCTTTCCCCTCTCAATTTTTAGCTTGTTTGCTTGAATCGCCAGACAAACACCCCGAACTTCAAGACGATTCTTCTCACGCTTTCAATTCTTTTTTTGTCAGCGCCATGTTTTTTTACCTCCTCTCCTGGTTTGTGTTTTTATTTATTTTGTTGTATTTTTTGCGTAGTTCGTGACCGCCCCTCGTTCCCCGCCCGCCCGCGCCTCCTCCGCGCCCCCGCCCCCGCCCGTGCCTAGATACCTGGTGCGTCCAAACCAGGGGGTGGTGGCTCCTTCGGAGGATTTGCCGGTGTCAATCGTCCTCCTGGCGCACGACAAAGTGTAAGTCACGTGCACGCTTGTCCCCGTCGGAGCCAAGGTAGTTGGTGTTCCAGAGCTGACTCACTCCCACTGCCGTCCTGATCAAGATGGATTCGTCGAGCAGCAAGCGAATCTAGTTATGATACATTATATAGCTATTGGTCAGCCCTGCCCCCTCCCGGCCCGGCCTTTGCGTGTGGTGGTTTGCCGCTTTTTTGTTTTCAGGGGGCTTATTTCGGAGTTCATGCAGACCGGTGGGTGCAACGAGACGAACAAGTTCATGGTGCAGGCATTGCCGCTGCAGGGCGAGAGTGCCACCGCGGGCGCTGTGGTGAGTGGGAGCGGGATAAGAGAGGGGGTAGGAAGGGCCAGGGAGGGGGGGGGGGGGGGGGTCAGGAGAGGGAGGGAGAGAGTCGGTGGGGAAAATACAAAAAAGGGTGGCCGTGAGC